CATATTCATTCAAAAACATGAAAATTATTAATGGAGTACCCTCATTTTTTATTGAATTCCTAAAAAACAATATTTATAATGAATTTTAATAATTTTTTCGAAGTTTTTTTTAAGCTTTATTCTGACCGATTCACCGGATTCCCGATCCGGATCGCCGATTCACCGATCCGGATCGGTTTTTTGGAAGCCCGATCAGGGTCACCGATCCATTTTTTAAACCATTGGTCCAAACGTTTTTTTACTAGAATTATTATTTTTGAATTTTAAAATTTATTTATTTTTTCATATCCATGAACTCTACGTTAGCATTAAAAATTTTTAAAAATTAAATAAAAAACTCCACCTCAATAATAGAGTTATTAATAGGTCCGCATTTCATTTCGCATAGAAACTGGGTCCAAAAGAAAGAAAGAAAGAAAACATTTAGGCGCCACTCGTGTCCTTATCAGGTCAGGTTCCGTTTCCACGAAGGTTTGCTCCCAACCCTTTTGACTTCCAACTGACGAAAACGGAGCCTCCATGGTGTGAAAACAGAACCTACTTCCTACAGTATTCGGGCGCCTCCTTGGGGACCTATAAATAACCTCTTCTCCCATGCATCTGCTTACGCAGAGAGAGAGAGAGAGAGAGAGGTATTAAAACATTTTAGAGAGAAGTAACAGTACTTAAATAGAGAGAGAGGTATTAGAAATCTTATTTTAGTGGGTGTTACGATTTTTAGAAAAGGAGATGGAGAAATATATTGAAGTTTTAGTTAAAGAGATGAAGCAAATGATGCGTGAGATGAAGGTCCACATCCACAATCCATCTGCTTATGATATTGCATGGGTGGCCATGATTCCAAGTGATAAATGTGGAGGGGAGCCCATGTTTCCAAAGTGTTTAGAATGGATTATTGAGAATCAAAAAGATGGGGGATTTTGGGGAGGGGAAGATGACTGCAACTCTCCCTCTCCCACCGCTGAGTGCCTACCTGCTACATTTGCATGCATTGTTGCCCTCAAGACTTGGGACGTAGGTCACGAGTGCATGGGGAGAGGTACGCAAACAACTTTTTCCCCTTACTAATAAGATTTTTTTTTTTTTGTCGGTAGCTCAGTGGGGAAGATGTTCTCCATCCATAACAAGAATTGAACTCATGCGGTGGCGTCCTACTACCCTAATCACGTAACCTTTTGTTTCTGTATGGATATTTTTATCAATTGCGTTGTGATTTGTTTTACCTTCCATCCTAGCACATGCCTTTTGTTGCATGGAATCATTCTCCCCTGTAATGGTAATGGGCCGGGCCATCCGTGACCCTAACCCAACCCTTCTCCCCATATACCCGGCGGCCTAAGACAAAAATAAATGAATACAAAATAAAAGAAAAAAATAAGAAAGGAAATAGGTCCAGGCTAGCTGGCATTGGCCTTAACCCGCCCCTCGGATCACAGTTTGTGGCCTCGACCCTACTTTTCTAGGGCCAAGCCGTATCAGGCTCGATTGGGCTGCCCGGCCCGCCCTACTCCCCCATTAATGTTTTGGCTCGTGCACAGTTGAACTGCTCCCGTTTTCTAACTACTCTATTTCTAAACACACAATAATGTGATCCATGTTGAGTGACATTCGAGTGTTACTCCATTTGGTTTGCATGAAAGAGGTTAGATGGGTGTCTTGGACGCGGTATACAAAATGAAATCCACGACCTTCCCTCACCAACGAACATTATATATCATTATATATAGAGTAGTATCCGATACACTATTTGGATCTAAATCCAGATCCAACATAATATTTGGATCCTGATCTGTCTTGAACCCGGATCCAACGTAGATCCAATGTATAATATCCTGATCTAGATATGGATCTGGTAGGATCCAGCCCCGATCCGACCCGTTCTTACCCTAGTCAATGCTGCGAGTGTAGTATCAAGAAAGAAAGGAAATGGAAACACGTCGGGGTCGTATAGGTAGTATCCCCACACCTTAGTCACTACCTAGTGATTTCTATTTCCTAACACTACCACATTAACATTTTAAAAAAAACTTACTCCTCGATTATTTGAAAAAATGGGTAAGGGTCTATCTTCCCCCACTGAATTATCCAAAAAAAAAATATGAAAAAGAAAACACGAATCATATGATTGTTTGCACTAAAACCCTTGTACCAATAATATTGTCGTACTAGGGTTGGACTTCATTCATGGAAACATAGAGAAGCTCTTGCTTGAACATTCTCCACAATTTGCAACTCAATGGTTTACTATCATTCTTCTTGGTACGATTGAACTGGCTCAGAGCAAAGGACTGGAAATCTTTCCCAAAGGTTTCCCAGCGCTTGTAAAATCTCTTTTTAGAGAAAGAGAGAGAATTTTTGAAAGGTAAATATTCTCTTTCTAGATTGCTTATTTGATTTTCTTGATTGAAGTTCGACTGGTATGCTTTCGATTTGTTTCAACATATTTTGATCCTTTTGTAGGGAAAATTTGACACAAAATTACGAAGTTGCTCTGTTATATCATTTGGAAGCAATGCCAGCAACGTACCAGATCGATTTTGGAGAGGTCTTACAATTCAAGGGCCCTGATGGGTCCCTATTTGGATCTCCTTCTTCAACAGCATGCGCATTCATAGCTACAAAGGATTCCGATTTCCTCAACTATCTCAAATCCATGTTTCAGAAAGTTGAAAATGGAGGTAGAAGAAAAACACAAAAACACTATGGGAGCTACAGCTGTATCTTTTTCTCTTTTTCCTGTTCTTTGTTTTTTATGTTGAATGTAGCTTTGTAAAGATAACGAACGATGCTGATACAGCTCCTGCAACATATCCTGTGGACGAGGGGTTCATTAAGCTATGGATGGTCGACTTATTGGAGAATTTAGGGTTGGAAGAGTACTTTTCAGAAGAGATACAAAAAGTGTTAAACGATACATATATGTAAGTAGTTCACAACACAACATAGAACAAGGTCTTGATACTCGGACTGCTTGGCTTCAATGAAGATTGCACAAGCCAGGTGGTCCGAGATCTGGAACTTCGGACGGTTTGGATTGTAAAATTCACAGTCCAGGTAGCAGTTTGAGGTTTGGAACTTTAGACAGCTTGGCTTGTGTGAACCTTGTGCAAGCCAAGCGTTCCAAGGTTTCGGACCTCACATCAAAGTATTCCAAGGATTCAGCCCTCAGACCACGTAGCTTCTATAATGTTTGTGCAAGCCAAGCGGTCCGAGGATTTTGGTCCCTGCACTTCCGATAAGTTTTTAGTTTTAAATAAAAATTGTTCAATATTTAGAACATTGGACTATAAGACTGAACGGCAAAACTGAAAAATATAAAAAAGACGAAAAAAAGTAGTGGGTTGATGTTTAGAACGTTGAACCAGTCAACCTCCTTGAAAATTTCATTAAATTTAGGACCTCTGCGTAATTATCACATCTAAATTTTCCAAAAAATTAATATAGAATAGAATAAGAAATTCGTCAAGGCGCTCATAGATTTTCGTAGGCTTTTCTTACTAATTCATCATTTTTTTTTTTTTTCTTCTATATGGTACGAAATTTTGATATTTTGTTGAAAAGAGCAGGGTTTGGATGGAAGATGATGAAGAAAACAATGCGAATCTCCTGGTGGTAGAAGAAATGTACAAGGATTCACTTGCATTTAGACTTCTACGGACCCATGGATACCGTGTGTCCCCAAGTGAGCCATTTTTTTGGGTTGCCCTCACTATTTTTTTTAATTATTTAAGTATGGATTTTAAATAAGTTAGAAAAATACGGGTTGCACTTTTTATATTAAAAAATTACAATCAAAATCGATCAACGTTACTTTTTTTTTTTTACAAAATTACCCCTCAGTCAATGCTTTTTTTAAAAACAAAAAAAAAAACTTAAAGTTGCGGTCCGATGATATCATTCTTGGACAGCTTTTTTTTTTTTCAAAACTTAATTTTCGGTCTGAGGTTGAAATTCTGGGGCCAAAACTTAAATTTTGAAAAACAAAAACGGTTTGGGGATGGTATTCCTAGACAACTTTTTTTTTTTCAAAATTTAAGTTTTGTTATGAGAATTTCAACCTCGAACTGCAACTTAAGTTTTGAAAAAAAACAAAAAAAGTTATGAGAATTTCATACTTGGACCACAACTTAAGTTTTTTTTAAAAAATGTCCGACAATGACATCCTCAGACAGAGGGATAATTCCATAAAAAAAAGAAACACGTTGACCGACCTTGGATGTAATGATGGCATATAAAAAGACCACACCATATTAGGATACCATTTTTACGTAATTAAATACTTTTTTCTTGGCTCATTCGTCATGGTCCCAATTGAGTACGACAAAAGTAAAGCTTCCACTTTTGAGTTCTGGATTTATTAGATTTGTCCCATCTGAAGATAGCAAGGCCCATCATCACATTATAACTCAATTTAGTGTATGAAGTGTAGAAACGAAAAGCAATCTACGAAAGCAAAAAAGAAGAAACAAACACAAAAGAAAGAGACAACCATCCACAACACAAAGATATACATGGTTCGGCAACGTGCCTACGTCCATGGGAGATTAGAGCTTCTTTACTGGCAATACTCTCTCTTCCTCACGCCTCTCTATTTTTATCTAATTACAAAGAGATCTACATTTTCCCCTTAACCCTTAACGACCTTCCGGAGTCGTCTTTTTTACTCCACCTTGGCAGATCTATTTCCTCATAATACAAGACATCAATCCTCAACACGAAGTCTCTCTCTCCTCTTTTATTTTCTTAACTTTTTAATCTCTCTCTCCCCCCTCTTTTATTTTCTAGACCGAAGCCTGCATATGTAGAAAGGCGGGCTTTTTAATAAATTTATTTAGGAGATGGATTTTAAGACTTAATTTTTAAAAACAAGTAGCCTCTAACATTGAATATAAACAAATAAATAAATTTTAAAAACAAAAAATAATAATTCTAGTAAAAAGAGACATACGATCGCTAATTTCCATTATTTTTAGATGGAACACCAACTTGCATCCATCTTTAAGATAGATGCTTTATACTTTATGGACCGTATATGTAGAAATGCGTTCCAGCCCGCATGAAACAATGTTCCTTATTTTCTTAACTTTTTCATTTTGCGTTGAACTTTCATTACCCAGTGGTTTTATATATTATTTCCTCATATTAGTTATCTACATGAAAATGTATTGTTTGTTCTTTATTAATTTTTGATTGGTACTATGTGAACTGTAAATAATTTGCAAATATATAGACTATTTTATTATTTAACATCCAAGTTAACTAACTCAAATACTTCAGTGAGAGTTAGTAGCGCGTGGGATGGATTCTAAAGTCTCGAATGAATACGTAAACCAATTAGAAGATATCTTCTTCCGATGTATTTTCGACATCTGCCATAACAGCATTCATATCTCTCAATTTTTTAGTAGACAAATGGTGGTATAATCCATAAAACCAGCGTTTTAAAAAACGCCGAGTCGAACCGGACTCGCCCGGTTCGACTCGGAATTCGCGAAAAGGGACCGGATCGGTTGAAAAATCGGAAATCGTCCGGTTCTAGAGAGAACCGGACGATTCCGTACAGTGACTTGCCGATTCACTGTACGGAATGGGCGAGTCGGAACAATGAATCAGCGAGTCCGTACGCCTTTTTTTTTTTTTTTGTAATCCATGATAGA